CCGCGCGCCCGCGCCAGCCTCGCCGCGGCGCTGCCAGGGCTCGCCCGGACCATGCGCGGCCGCGAGCTCCCGCTCGTCCTGCTAGCGCTGGTCCTCTGCCAGGCGTCCCGAGGACCCGCGGCCCCGGCGCCCGCTAGCGGAGGGACGGTGCTGGCCAAGATGTACCCGCGCGGCAACCACTGGGCGGTGGGTGAGTGTCCTGCGGGCGGGACCCGTCTGTCGGGGCGGACCGGACCTGCCTCCCATCTCGCAGTTTCCGGCCCCGGCTTTCGGAGCTGGGTTTGCTCCGACCCTTGGATAGAAAAACCAGTCTGGTTTTCTTAAAAGTCCATCCACCCGTCCCCATCCCGGAAAGCCCATCAGTCCCTCCCCAGCTGCGGGCCGGCGGGTGGTCCCTTTCCCGCTCGCTTCCAGTCGGTGCGTCCGGGTCCTCCTACCCAGGGCCCCCTAGCCAGCGCGCAGCTCTCCGGAAACCAGGGCTCCGCGCACCTCTCCTCCCCTCCACACCTACCCAACACTTTCTGCTGTCCGCCTAGCCCCGGCCCTCTCTAGCAGTTTGCTCTCTGAATAACTTTGAGGAGCCGGGTCCCCCGAGTGTGTCTGCGAATCCTGATCCACCCGGGCGGCCTCGAATCCGACCCGCGCCTGTTCAGCCCCAGACCTCGCCTTCACGCCCGGCAAAGCCACAGGTGTGGGGACCTGGGGCTCAGCAGCGCAGCGCTCCCGCCCTGGCTTTCAAATCCGTACCGGCTGCAGCCGGTACAGAGCCTCGGGGCTGCCCGTTTGCAGAGCCTGGGTCCTGCCCGTTTGCGACTCTCCTCTGAGTTTTCTCAGCCCTTCCCTTCCCATCGCAGCGATATTCGACCCTTTTTACCCAACCCTCTCTTTTCGGCCCGCCGGCTCAGCGTTTTGGGAACCATGCCCGCTTTCCAAGCTCACCCCGGCCCTCTGCCCAGTAGTCTCCACTCTTGTTTCGTTCCCTAGAACCATGGCTTCACCCTCCCGCTCCCGTCCTCAGCTCCTTTCCCCTTCCCTTTGCCAGCAGGCCCTAGACTTGGAGAGTTCCCTGTCCCGGTCCCCAGGACCCAGGCGGCGACCACAGCTACGCAGCGGGTGGAAAGGGCGCGGGTCACCAGGGATCTGCCGAGCGCAAGCTCAGCTGTGCGCAACGGGCAGTCTTGCCGCGGTCCTGCAGCCTGGCGTTCACTGACACCCACCTCCCCAACCTACTCCTCCGACCTCGGCCTCGAGTCCAGCGCCCTTAACTACCACGCCACCTGCCGGCCCCAAAATAATTCTTAAAAAAAGAAAATTACTATGACAGCATCTACATCCAACAGTTTTTTGTGTACTGTTGTGTCTGAAGTTCTCCTCCATTCTTCTTTAGGGATTTTGGGTGTGCGTGTGTGTGCGCGCGCGCGCGCACACACACACACACACACACACACACACACACGGGAGGGGTGCAACAAGTTGGTACTTGCTAATTCACATATCGACCCATCTCGGGTTCTCTGAGCAAGATTAGGAAGAATTTAGGGGAAGGGACAATGCTGAAACTGTTTCCTCTGTTCCTCTGTGTTGTGTGAGCTTTCGGTGGAGTCCGGACTTCAGGGCTGCAATAGAATCGCTTTTTGCTAAAAGAGTCATCTGCCAAGCCGTGAGAGTCCCAAAGAGAGGAATTGTATTGGCTGAAGAACCAGAGGAAGCCGGGAGTCTGGTGTGGAGAGGAGAGATTGGGATGCGTAAAACTGAGAAAGCCTGCATTTCAGAAATGAAGGATACTTACATGGCATTAAAGAAGACAAACCCAGACTGATACTTTCAACAAAAATGGTGTCTTCGGGCTTAGAACAGGTGGTCATTGTCTGGTCCCTGCTACCAACCAGTGGGCTGGAGAGGTGGAATGAAACTTGCAGATGTTTTTTTTCTTTTTTTGGAGAAGTTTTTGCTATAGGGCGCGTGCGCTCGCCAGAAAGACAGAGAGAGACAGAGACAGAAAGTGAGAAATTACACACACACACACACACCCATGGCTGCTCCGCAATCCCTCCTCCATTCTCCTCTCGGGATCTTGGGCACGCACACACACGCACCCACAAGCACCCGCCGCCATGAGTTTAAGCCACTGGATCAGAGACTCGAACCGCGGTCAACTACATGAGAGTCCAGCAACATAGCCATTACACTAACTGCTGGTCCCAAACTTGTAGATTTTTCAACCACTTTTTACTCATCCATATTTTTGTACTAAAAGGGCTTATAATGAGGTAGCCCTTGCAAGCCAAAGGGAGGCACACAGAGGTAGCTGGGAAGCCAGCATCAAACCATTTCTGGTATGAACCCAGCCAGCCAAGGATTTGCTGTACTTCTGGGCACTTCTGTCTCTAGGTATTTAGGGTGGCTGGCATTTAGTCACCCTTCAGAGCGGTAGTGGGCATTCCTAGCCCAACAGCAAAGTGACCGATGGCAACCCCAAATACCATCTTATTTATTGTCAAATACGTCCTTTTCTCTTGTTCTCCCTTTGCTGTGTGTAAACGAGCAAGAGCAAGTGAGAGAAAAGGGTAAAATGAGAGCTCCAGGTTAGCCTAAAATGGCAGTACGGCTGAGGAAAAGTTTGCTTTGGGTAGACATGCCCACTCTTGAAATCTGAGCGTTGACAAGGATGAATGTTGTCAGAATTTAATTTTCGCTTTCAGTTATCCCAAGAAAATCCCTATCCTTTTCAATCACCAAAGACATGCAGTTTGGTTTTTTTTATATAGAACGAAAGCTACATATTGCAGTCCACGAGGAAGCTGTCGGCACCCGTTTGCAGACTTGTCAAGCCGGTTGCTTCTTCCAGCTGAGAAAAATATGGTGAGCCAGTGGAGAACAAGTTAACGGCTTGAAAACTTAATACATTCTTAACTGCTTGATGTTCATGGCCCTGTTTTGTTTGTGCAATGAAAATATATGTCAGCACTAACAGTGGTAACTGTACCTCGGGCTCCCATGAAATCCTCCAAGCCGTGACTCTAGCTGAGACCATGTCCCTGGAGGTTGTGTTCAAAAACTCCAGTATCCGCTACAACACGGCTCGATATTATTGTGTCACTCCAGAAACCCTGAAACAGAGTTTAAATGTAGCTTCAGAAAAACCAGTTCTCAGAAGTACTCAACATTTTAATATATGCCTTCATGTATATTTTCCTGAGTTAGGGTAGTTTTCAAGTTTTGACTTCAAGAAAATTCATCCGTGTTTTACACCAGCCCTTCAACGGTACCTTTCACTGACTCAAAAGTGCAAAAGCTTTTTCCCCCCTCTGAGTAAGGTTTTATTTTTTAAGTGCCTGTTTTTTTGTCTATGCTGAGATCTCCATTATTGTAATATGGACACGTGACAAATGATGATGAGAGAAGAGGTGGAAGTGGGCCTATCAGCCGTGTTGCCATGGAGATGATGATTTGGTTGACAGTAGCCAGCTAAGTGAAGTAGGACCCAGAGAGTGTGTGCTTCCCTGGGATGTTATGGAAATGGCGTGTTTCTCTTCATTACAGTGTGTGAGTCTAGGGATGGGGAGCTGAAGATCCACCCCCCTATAGGAAAGGTGCCATGAAACTTCCAGATTTCATTCCAGAATCAGAGGGTGTCATCAGGAGCGATGTGAAATCGACCAAGAATGGAGTCCAACTTTTACCCTTTAGAAAAGTCCTCAACATTACCTGGGCTTGACAATGACGAAGTTCTTACTTGTACAAGTATCTCCATCACTTTGCCGCTTCATTGGCAATAACTCCTCTCTCATTTCCAGCATCTTAATTAGATAATAGGTGGTTAGGGAGGGCAAGAGTGACCAGGGTCATTACTGGCAGCGTCAGGGTTCTAATCCTGCCTCCCACGCCTCATAATTCAATTTCCTCCATAGAAATCAAGCTGAATGCATCACTACTTCCTGGAAACCTGTGCAACCACATGGCCGCTATGGCTGGGTGTGAGGTTATTTAGTGGATACCCAGGCATTGGTCCTTCAGGATCCCAATCCTTCGGTTGGGCCAGTACCGTCAAGGGGGTTTTGAAATTGTGTATGTGTCACAAGCCCCTTGGCAAGTGCTCATCCTGCATGCAGTAACCGCCATCTGAAGGCTCCCCACCACTCGCAGAAGTAGTTTTTCTGAGTCATGATATACGGATATAGGATCCCCATCCCTTCTTACAACATTAGAAAGCCTTTAGTAGGCCTTATCTCTATTTACATACCCAGGATGATGAGAGTCTTACAAAGTTAAAAGACACTTCGAAGCAGGAAAATAGAGTGGAGCCCAGACTCTGAACTGATTTTAATCCTGGAGTCTTTGCTTACACCTTGCAAATCCCATTTTCACCAAACTTACTATGGTATGGCTCAAACGTGACATAGCCCACACTTAAACAGGCCGTACGTTGTCCAACACAATACACATGGAAGTGATGCAGTCGTTGTAAGGGGGTTTTGTTGGTGGGGAGTACATCTGGAAAAGGTCCTGTTTTAGTTCTAAGTGTCTGAGGATCTTTCGCATATTATTGTCATGTTTGCCTCTAATGCCAGTCAACACTGGAACCAGAAAGACCTTTTTCCTGTGCACTTTAACTCAAAAACACTATGACTTTCTTGATATTATAAATTCTGAAGTGCTATAAAGCCCAGTTACAGGCAGATGGAGAAAATCAACTGAAGAAAGTAAATAAAGTAACGTGAGTACATTTAAGCCATGGACTGAATATTAAGAAAGCAGACCTTGAGGGACCAGCAGTTAGCGTAATGGCTATGTCGCTGAACTCCCATGTAGTTGACCATGGTTCGAGTCCTAGACCCAGTGGCTTAAACTCATGCCAGGCGTGTGTGCATGTGTGCCCAAGATTCTGAGAGGATAATGGAGGAAAAGGGATTGTGGCATGGCCATCCCCCCGGGAGATGATTTCTCGCTTTCTGTCTCTCTGTCTCTGTCTTTCTGGCGAGCACATGAGCCCTATAGCAAAAACCTCTCTAAAAAAGAAAAGAAAAGAAAAGAAAAGAAAAGAAAAGAAAAGAAAAGAAAAGAAAAGAAAAGAAAGAAAAGAAAAGAAAAGAAAAGAAAAGAAAGGAAAAGAAAAGAAAGCAGACCTTGGAATCAGCAGGTGGTGTGGTGATTAAAGTACTGAATTCCCACATGACTGACCATGGTTCAAGCCCCGGATCCAGTGGCTTCAGAGTCACTCCAAGTGTGTGTTCATGTGTGTATGTGAGCCCAAAATTCTAGGAGAAGAATGGAGGAGAAAGGATAGCAGTGTGGCCAACCCACCAGTGGGGTGATTTCTCATTTTCATTCTCACTGTTTCTATCCCTCTCCTATAAGCACACACACCGTGACAAAAACTTGAAAAAAGAAAAAAAAAAAAAAAGCAGACCTTGAACTTCACATCCACTTCCGACCCTATGTTGCCCTCACTGACATCCATGAATATCCATGTTTTTAGTGGTCTGACTTCCTTAACGACAGCTATTATTTATTTACGTGGCAGGTTAACATCCGCAAAGCTATTGATAGCCTTTCACTGATCAGTTCTGACACCCAGGAGGAAATTCTGCACTTATGTGTCAAGAAGTGTTAGTCAGAACTTGTTTTCAACTTGTTTTTCATTACAGTCTTCACAAACCATTTCAAGGTGAAGTTCCTAGACTCAATCTCAGCTAAAATTTTGTGAAAGTTTAAATGAAAAATCCCTCTGGTACATTTGTATTACAGAGGAAAGGAAAGTATCGTGTTTTTTCTTTTTTTTTTCCCCACACACACAAAGAAAGCACTGAGACTTTTATTTTCAACAGCAATTCAGAACTGGCCGGGGAAGACATTCAAACGCTATCTTTCAGTTAGGAATAGAATTTGGTGCACACTGAATTGATGATAGAATTTGAGATGCGAAGGTTCCTGAGGTTTAATGCAGTCCCACCTGTTCATTGTACATTTGAGAAAATGAAAGACCGGGAATGTGAAATGACTCGGCAGAGGTCACCAGGCTCGTGAGCGGAGGTGTTGGAACCCAAAGCAGGGTGGGCTGCAGATAGCAATTCAGTTCCAACTCACTGCACATTTTGAACAGGGAGCAAAATCTGTCTTTTATGAACGCCTCATGATAAAATGCTATTTATTCTGCATTTGGGGGAAGTACACAAACATAATTGGTGTCCTTTTAAATTTCGTGGTCCAGCCATTCCCCTCAGTTAAATGTGTGGCGTTCTGTTTTGTCTGGCTTTTGTTTTACAGGGCACTTGATGGGGAAAAAGAGCACAGGAGAGTTCCCGTCTGCTTATGAGGGAGGAAGCCTGAAGCAGCAGCTGACAGAATATGTTCAGTGGGAAGACGCTGCAAGGAATTTGCTGGATCTCATAGAAGCCAAGAGGAACAGAAGCCCTCGGCCACCTCAGCTCCTGGGCAATCCCCAACCTATTTGGAATTCAGAGAAGAGCAGCAACTTTAAAAATGTAGGTTCAAAATGCAGAGGTAACACAAACACACTGGAGAGGTGGGCAAGATGTTTCAGGGCAGTTGGGAAAGGTTTCATCAGGGAAAAATACAATTGCTTATATCGTAAGCCTCCAGTGCCAGTTTATGTGGCTAACGTGACTGCATGTTAGCCAAATAAGTAGGCAGTTCCCATGCTTTCTGTCTGTCTTTCTTTCTATTTACTTATTTTTACGTAATAAATTATTTTGCCTCTTAGCACTTTAGAAGGGCATTGGGTCCAAATTCCATTTTTAGGGATTTTATTAGCAATTGTGTTTATTTGTAATTGCACAATAATTCTTTTAAAAAGAATTATTTACTTCTTTAATTCCATTTGTTATTATTATTATTACTTTAATTTGACCAGGGAGAGACAGAGAGAGAGAAAGGGAAAGGGAGAAAGCAAGCTGCCAGGTGTGGGACTCAAACCATGGTCAGTCATGTGGGAATCCTGCGCCTTTAACCACCATGCTGCCTGCTGGTCCCTAATTGGATTTTTTAACTGCCAGTTTCTATTGGAATATTTTGATAGTGAGACCATAATTTTTTTGAGTAAGTCTCTGTGAGTCTACAGATATATTTAGTTTTGATGAACACTAGTAGAAGAGCCTATTCATAAGTTTTTAAAACTTTTTTTAAAGTTTATTTCATGGGAGAGGAAGAGAGAGAGGCACCTCAGACAGGGTTTTTAATTTTTTTTTTTAGTATTTTATTTTTTAGAGTGTTTTGCTATAGAGTACCTGTACTTGCTGGAAAGACAGAGAGAAACAGAGAGACAGAAAGCGAGAAATCACCACTCCCCCCCACCCTGGGGGATGGCCACACCACAATCCCTTCTTCATTCTCCCCTCAGGATTTTGAGCACACACGCACATGTGCCTGGTGTGAGTTTTAAGTTTTTGGGTCCAGGACTGAAACCGTGGTTGACTTTGTGGGAGTCCAGTGACCTCACCATTACGCCATTCACTGGTCCCCTATTTTTTTTTCCCAAAGAGCTATTTTATTTAACTTTATTTATTTATTTTAATTTGACCAGAAAGGGACAGAGTGAGAGAGAGAGAGAAAGTGAGAAAGCAAGTCGTCAGGCCTGGGACTTGAACCGTGGTCAGCCATGTGGGAGTCCAGCGCCCTTAAGCACCATGCCACCTGCCAGCCCTGGTCCCTATTTTTTTCTTAAGAGGTTTTCTTTAAGGAATGTGTGCTCACTAGAGAGACAGAGACAGGGACAATGAGAGGGAACATGAGAAATTGCTCCCTTGGGAGGATGGCCACACTGCAATCCCTTCTCCTCCATTCTCTTCCTGGGATCTTGGGCATGCACACACATGCCCAGCTTGATTTTCCAGCCACTGAGTTTGGGACTTGAACCATAGTCAGCCATGTGGAGTCCAGCTGGCCCCAGACAGGTCTTGACATGCTATGATCCCGCCTCCATCAGCAGCCAGCCAGCCAGGATCACTGACATGTGCATTTGCTCAGTGTGTTTCAGGTCAACCCAGGATCAGAACCACAGTCTTCCGTGTGAATCTGGCCCTGCAGACAGGATGGCCTGCTAACTGTGGCTGGCTCCTAGATGTTTTTAGAGCACACAGCCTTGGTTGCCAGCTTACATGCTAAGTCTATTGCTTCCCACTTTCTCCAAGACTACCTAGTTCAGGTCTCATCCTGACAGTTCAAAACTTGGTGAACATATGTAAGGTCAACTGACTCATCCTGTAGATGATTTTATAGAGGACAGAGAGCAATAATTATACCACATGAACAATGATTGGATACAAAGACAGTGAACAGGATAAAGGAGAGAACACAATGTATGTGGGGTCACTGGGAAAGTCATGATGCATTTTTACATAGAAAAACATGGAAAAATACATCCTGACTTTTCTGACAATCTAATAGAAAGAAAGCAAGGCTGGGACCAGCAGTTAGCATAATGGCTATGCCGCTGGACTCCCATGTAGTCTACTGCGGTTTGAGTCCCGGACTCGGCGGCTTAAACTCACGCCAGGCGCATGTGCGTGCGTGCCCAGGATCCTGAGAGGAGAATGGAGGAGAAGGGATTGCGGCATGGCCATCCCCCGTGGAGGGGGCGGGATTTCTCGCTTTCTGTCTCTCTGTTTCTCTCTCTGTCTGTCTGGCAAGTGCACACACCCTATAGCAAAAACCTCCCCCAAAAAAAAAAAAAAGAGAGAAAGAAAGCAAGGCAACTGGAAGTGAGGTAACAGTCACTAACTTTCAAGAAGTCTCTGTGATATGTATAATAAAAGTCAAGAGCTGGCCGGTGGCGTGGTGATTAAGGCAGCTGGATTCCATGTGGCTGACCACATGATTTGAGTTCTGGACCTGGCAACTTGAAAAACATGTCAGGCATGTGTGCATGCATGCATGCCCAAAATCGAGAAAGGAGGGAGAACTAGAGGAGAAGGGCCTGGCATGATCATAACCTGTAGGGGTGCATCTCCCTTTCTCTCTCTCTCTCTCTGTCTCTCTCTGGTGAATGCATGCACCCTTTGGCAAATTTTTTAAAAGACTAAAAAAGAAAAGGCAAAAATAATTGATGCACTAACAATGCTAATAATGACTGGTTTTACTGAGCACTTACTGTAATCCAAATACCGAGCTAAACGGTCTACCTCCAATTTCTCGGTTTATACTCACAGCCAACTTGGGAGAAGATTCTGTTACTCTCTCCATTGTAGAGGTGAGGACAGGGAGACGAGTCATGTAGCATTCGTCCATTGACGAAACCAGGGCCAGAGCCTTGCTCGGTTTGCCTCAGGCTATGCCATGTAAGGTATCTTGCAGGGAATGCTCCTTACTGAGCTGAAATAGGAAGGGTGCAGGATGCAGTAGCAGGCCTTGCTTCTGGCTGTTTCTGATGATAAATAATACTGCTTTTGGCACACAGAGCTGGGAGAGCTTGCTCCTTCGCTCTTCCATGGGTGGTTAACTCTGTGATTGATGGCCGCTTTACAGAGGCTCAGGGCTGACTTTGCCAAGCCTCAGCCAGCTTCTCTGGAGGCTTTATGTTTCACTGCCTTTCAGTTGCTGTGGATTTTCTATGCTAAATGCAAACTAAGAATTCATTAGTCTCATTAAGCCCCTAGAGAGAAAGTCTTATGTAGCTTTTAAACAGAAAAACAAATGAACAAACAAACAAAAAACCTTGGTTAAATCAACCAATACAGAAATACTGGGAGTACCAAACTTTCCACAAATCCCTGAGGGATTCTCTTGTCCACACCTGTGTGATGGGTGTTAGGGGCTCAGCTCCGCCCTTCCTCCATGGAGCATTCTCTGGGAGCTCAGTCAACAGTGACTGACTTCTCAGTTCCTAGCTGGCCATGCCTTTCTCGGTCACGTGCTTTGCTCAAGTTCCTGTATGTAGGTATCCAACAGCAATACCTTTCTCCTTTGTCTGAAGAGTAACAAATATGAAAAACTCTTGAAAATAATCTTCATAAACATTAAAATGGACTTGTCCTCATAGTTCATTCATAAAATACTCCCCCAACCAACGCATGCAATCAAGTGATTAGTCTAAGTGCCTCATTTTTGAACCATACAGCAAAATCCAGTTTAAGTTGTGTTATTCTCTGAAACTGGATCTGTGTATATTTTTCAGAAGTATTTATTTAATTTTATTTATTATTATTTTTAAAATTTGACCAGAGAGAGAGAGAGAGAAAGAAAGTAAGAAAGACACCAGGTCCAGGACTTGAACCATAGCCAGCCAATGTGGGAGTCCAGTGCCCTAATCACCATGTCACCCACCGGCTCCTGCATTACTTTTGAATCTTCTAAAAAAGTCAATTCCTTTCTCAAAGTTCAAAAGTGCCCCACCATATTCAGAGTAATATTCTATAAGTCTCAAAAGCAATTACAAAAGAATATGAGTATTCAAAAAGTTTGTGGAAATGGGATTAAAGTATGAGTTTAATTTGGTGCAAAATTTTTGAAATCCATACCCAGTTTTTCATAATATGCATATCCATGAACTTTTTGAAGACCTCCCATAACTTCAGAAAGCTCTCTGAGCAGCAGTATTATAAGATGATTGAGTGGGCAGCCTTGGAGAGTGACTGCTTACTGGGGATACTAATCTCAATGCACGCTGATGAAGGTCCTCTTTTTATATGGTCACATTTCTGCTCTTTGTAATGCATTGTTTTTCCTTTTACAAAGTTAATGAGCCCATCCCATTTCTTATGACCTCAAGAATAGTTAGCTATTGCACACATTGGTACCATCCTTTTGCATGTGATTTCCCGGGAACATGAAAAACAAATTCAACAGTTAGCTTAATCTTTGCAGAGACCAAAACAATTTATTACTTCTCCTGCTTTGGAAATTCCACCTTAATGAAAGTATGTTGCTATGAAAACTGAAAACATCTTACAATGATCTTATTCAAAGAGAGGAGTGTCAAGAGAGTTGTTTTATTAGAAATCCATATATTTCCCAGTGTTAGAGAGAAGTTTAATAACAGCTGAGCACCGCCAGAATTAGCAGCAGACATTTTCAGAGGCTGAAAGACTTCTTAAAATTAAAAACTATCCGCTTGGGGTTAGCAGGTGGCGTGGTGGTTAAGGCACTGGACTCACACATGGCCATCCATGGTGTGAGTCTCAAGCCTGACAGCTTGCTTTCTCTCTCTCTCTTTCTATCTCTGTCTTTCTCCAGTCAGCATGCATGCCCTGTAGCACATTTAAAAATAATAATAATAATCAAATAAATAATTCTTTAAAAGCCACACAACTCTCTAATTGTGCTCTTCTAGCCCATCTTAGTAATAAAACATTAAGTCCTGTTGCCAGCTCTCCCAGAGTTGTAATTTTAAACTCTGAGCATTTCCTATGTGCTGATGACAAAGATATTTACTTAATTCAAAAAAGATTTATGTCATGTGCTTGGAATCTAGCCTACTAATGGGATCAGCAGTTAGCGTAATGGCTATGTCGCTGGATTCCCAAGTAGTCGACCGCGGTTTGCGTCCCGGACCCAGTGGCTTAAAACTCACGCCGGGCATGTGTGCGTGCATGCCCAAGATCCTGAGAGGAGAATGGAGAAGGGATTGCGGTGTAGCCATCCCCCCTGGGGGTGATTTCTCGCTTTCTGTCTCTCTGTCTCTCTCTGTCTGGTGAGTGCACATGCCCTATAGCAAAAAAAAAAAAACAAAAAACCTCTCCTACTAATCATGACCAAAGGCTCCAGAACTGTCATGGCAATTATGGCTAGGAATTTTCAGGTCAACCAATTACTCGTTCTTGTAACTGGGCCCTTCTCACAAACGTCTTGATCCTATTTTGCATTTAGTGGAGGTTTTACAGCATGGTTTCTATAGCATGGGGCAGTATTCAGAGCAGCTCTAGGGCCTGATCCACAATCCTGGCTGTGGCTGTGGATCGTTCTGAGTTTTGATGAAGGCTAAGTTGGTCTTCTGGATCCCTTCTATGATTTGGACCAAGTCCATCATTCTTGGCAGCCTTAGGTTTTTCTTTGTGTACAGCGGACATGAAGGATGGGGGGCTGGAGGTGAACTCCAGAGGCTGCTGTTGGAAGAAGTTCGTGTTCATAAGTTCATCCTTACTTGGAAGGGGTTACTCTTGTTGTCTATCAGATCAATACAGAGACTAGAAAGGCTTTGTGTCTTAGTATTTGAAATACTCCAAAGGGAGCTCCTAGTATAGAAAAAGTAATATATAGGGCTGGCTGTGGCATGGTGGTTAAAGCAGCTGGATCCCACATGGCAGATGGCATGGTTCGAATCGGACCCCTGTGACTTGAGAAACATGCCAGGCACATGTGCATGCGTGCATGTGTGCCCAAATTCCCAAAATGAGGGAGAAATGGGGGAGAAGGGATTGCAGCATGACCATTCCCCATGGGGACTGCTCTCTCTTCTCTCTCTCTCTCTCTCTGTCTCTCTCTGGTAGGTGCACCACCCCACCCTGGCAAAAATTTCAAAATAAAAAACAAAGAAAGAAAGAAAGAAAAAGAAAAAGAAGAAAACATCATACAAAGATAACCAATAACCTTTGTTTTACCCCAACAGTTGCTATGAAGGCAGAAGCAGGTGAAACCAGCCCCCACCTCAAATACAGCTGCTCCCAGCCCCAGCCATGGACTCTCTCAGTTCCCTTGGTCTTCCTAGGTTCTACAACTCTCCTTTCCCCTGTAGCTTTACTTCCATTTCCTTTAGCCAAACCTCTCACATTCAATATTTTGAGCCAATGGGGGGGACTTCTGTGGATTTCTCCCACATCCTCATCTGGTTCCTGTTACGACCAGTGGCTCATGTGGCAAGACAGAGGGGGCCCATAATAGCACAGTCTGAGTGCCTGGGGGAGCACAGAGCTAATTGGCACGTGTGAGGATCAGCCTCCAAGCCCTGGGCTCATTAGCGCCTGGGCAGAACAGTTGCGTTGCAGAGCAGGTAATAATTTACCTGAGAAGAGCAATAGCTCCTTTATTAGAAATGAATCTCTGGTCTGGAAGTTGGAGAATCTGAATTGCCAGAGGATCTCAGGGAGAGTAATAAGCTCTACTCTGGCTGAAAAGTGTTTCTCGTCTCAGCGGGTAAAGGGTGCTGCGTGGGACAGGGAAGTATTTTTAAATTACAACTACTCAGCCTTTCTTCAGTCCTAGTTAATTTGAGCAGAAGCCAAAACAAGCGAACCACAATAAATTTAGACTTGGCGGAAGCCCAAATGAACTCCTCTCCCAAGTTGCCCGCACTTCCAGCATTTACAGTTACAGGTTTGTTACACGCAGTCGTGTGATTCAGACCCTAGCTTTGATTTGTGTAATGAGGCGTTGCCAAAGGAAGCAAGGTAAGAATTGAAATTTCACATCCCCTGAGTCCCTCTACTCAGCTGCCACCTAGTCATAAATTCCTGGGATAACACGTTTCATTCCCAGCATTAGCTCAAACATGCTAAGTGACCAAGTCAGGGTATAAATTAAGCTGACATAACAAGAAGACCTCAATGGGAACCGGCAGTTAGCGTAATGGCTATGTCGCTGGATGCCCACGTAGTCGACCGCAGTTCGCGTCCCGGACCCGGTGGCTTAAAACTCACGCTGGGCGCATGTGCATGCGTGCCCAAGATCCTGAGAGGAGAATGGAGGAGAAGGGATTGCGGCGTGACCATCCCCTCTGGGGGGTGATTTCTCGCTTTCTGTCTCTATGTCTCTCTCTGCCTGTCTGGCGAGCGCATGCGCCCTATAGCAAAAACCTCTCAAAAAAAAAAAGGAGAACAAAAAAAATGAAGACCTCAAAATAAAGGAGATCAAGGAAAAAAAAAAAAAAAAAGAGGGGCCTGGCAGGTGTTGGGGTGGTTGAGGCACTGGACTCCCACATGGCCAACCACAGTTCAAGTCCAGGACCTGGTGTCTTGCTTTCTCATTTTCCCTATCTCTGTCCCCACTCTCCCCCCCACCTCTCTGGTGAGAGAATGTGCCCTATAGCAAATTGAGAAATAGTGATAATAGTAAATAAAATTAGATAAATAATCCTTTAAAAAAAACAAAAAGAAAAATGTCGACGTTAATTTCTCTCTTGGGTGACAGCTGTGGTTCTCAAACACTACATACTCAGAATCCCCTGGGACTCTTGGGCTCCATGCCCAGAGTTTCCAGCTCAGTAGGTCTGGTGTTGACTCAAGAATTTGTTACAAGCTCCGGGTGATGTTGATAGTTTATTGGGAGTGAATTTACTTCTCGTACGAGACTTGAGCAGCACAACTGTGCTGTGTAACTCTTTCTGATTTTTTTTTTTAAGTTGGTAGACTCTCTGCTCCAGGTTCTCGGTGTGAAGAAAGGAACCCCCAGCTGAATGGGCAAGGACAGTGACAGCCTCTCTCAAAGGAGCGAAAACTAAACCCTTTAGAGACTGAGTTCTACGAGCACCGATTCGGCTGGATCATCGGCAAGATCTCCTGTGTGTAAAATACTTAACCGTCGTATCTTTTCACCCTTGACTAAATTCATGATTTTCAAGCAACATCTTCTGGTTTGAATGTGTTTGCTGTGAAGAATGGTCCCCAAAGAGTCTTCCAATGAATGCTTTTCACCCAGGCTATTCATTGATCAGATTCAAGGGCCCAGTATTTTACAAGTCACGATAAAATCTGAAATATATTGTTTAAGCATTCATAATAAAACCTTAAGCACATTGTCCAAAAGGCATGCCATTCTCTTTACTCACTAATTACCTCAGGTTGGATTTCTAGCTCTCTCCTGGGAAGTCCACTTGCTAAATCTTTGCTGTGACTTATAGACTTTCTGGAGGTTCATACTTGTTTTATTATTACCATCACATGGGCTAAGTTGAAGACAGAAGTCACCCCTTGTTTAATTAATTTCCATTTCTTCAGACTTTACCATGGCCAGGTATTTTGCTGGTGTTATTGATACACTTCTCGTAACAATCTTATAATCTCAGAATTATCACCCCATTTAATAGATGGGGAAACAAAGGGTCAGAGAGGTCAGATGACTTACTTGCCCAAGGTCACACAGTAGATGGAAGCGGGATTTTCTTTTGAACCGCATTTTAAACCTCTCTTTCAGTACGATTGGAGCCCAGCAAGTAGCACTGTTTCTTCAGACTTTCTATGCCAGCCTGTGATAAGTAGTGTTCAGTGCCGGATTCAGCCAGCTGCATGACAAAATGATAAAGATGAATTCAAGAGATTTCCTTCCATTTTCTGAGAATGTGGCCTGGTGGCTTGTTAACACACACTGGTTCCATTTTTATCATGACATTTCCACATTAACAGATTTTGAAGCTTCTTGCCATATGTTTAGATTTTCTTCACTTAGAGAAATCACATTTAAAACTGTGAAGAGATTTGTCTTGCTCTGTCTTGTCAAAGAACCACATAAGATGGGATGTGTTTCTTCTCATTTCTCTTAAAGCTCTGTTGATTCAATTTATATAGAGCCAGATCAGGCAAAATTTGCAAAATGTTTTCAGTGTCCTACCATCTTCCTCGTCACGGCCCCTGCTTCCCGTTAAGGAACCTTCCAGAGCCTCCTTCCCAAGAATTTCATCCTGAGCCTTGTCAACTAAAGCCTGCCATTCAGCTAGCGATGACAAGGTTAGCCTCCTCAGAAGGATTTGCTTCCTAGGAGGAGACTCATAAAGATTAATAAAATAAAAAATAAAAAGGCCCAGCCTGGCGACACAGTTGAGACGAAATTGAACTATGATGCCGGGAGCCACATGTCCAACTCTGGGTTCAGATCCCCAGGTTGACCTGAAAACACATCGGACAAGTACATGTGTGCACCTGAAATCCTCAGAAATGGAAATTATTGAAAAAAAAGGGATGGCCAGGGCCAGCGACTGTCCTCAACCTAGCCCGTCTGTTGGTGATAAGAATGCTAGAGGGCTGCGGAAAGGCTGAGATCTTGACAAGGGTTCTCTCTCACTCTCTTCCTCTCTTTCTTGTTAAAAAGAAAAAGCTCTGGGTGCAGGGTTCTAATGAAGCATTTCAGGCAGGAAGAAGAACGACCCTGGACATAGCAATGCTGTTAGAATTACCCCATGGGGACTGCCACTCCTCTGCCATCTCACCAGAGCAGGCTTGCGGCCCTGTGTTTTAGCGCAATCCCTTCCCCCCCATGAGTTCTGACTGAAAGACAGAAACAGCTCACTGACATGTTTGACCCTTGTAGGGTGCCTCTATTCCAAGCCCAGGTCAAGATTAGGATTCCTTTCATCGAGAGATCCTTCATCCCTACAGAGACAGCTTTCTCAAGCTTGTCCACAAGTAGAGTGACATCCCACGTCTGAATGTGCCTATTGGGTCAGGTCATTTTCGGCTGTGTATTACAGCATCCATCTTGGCTGGTTTAGGTAGGAAAGGGGAAATTTATGTGAGGATATCAGACAGAGAAGAGCAAAGAAACGATCTTAAGGGGAAACTCACCTTGTTCAATACTCAACCCCACGATGCCACTGCCCACGGCCCACTCCCAACCAGACTCATACATGGCTCTGTCTGATTGGTGGAAACTGTCATATGCCTGTATCTAGCTACAAGGGCAGCTGGGAAATGTAGTTATCAAGATTCCTCTCTGGGAACATGGGACTAAAATCATAGGATCTTCTTAAAAAAAGAGAGAGGGTGTTAGAAAGTTGCCATCAGTCCCAAATGATAGATGTTCCCTCCCCTTTTTACTCCAAGAAAAATTTCCTCTTTGATTTCTGCTCATTCCTACTCTAGAGAACATTTGGCACCAGCCTGGGACCCTGGAAAGCTTAGAAGCTTGGTGGCGTTTCTCTGTAGCACACAGGCCAGGTGTGCATGCACAGCGAGGAGAGAAGACTGCTTTTAAGAGGAGATAATATTTTTAAATCCTTGTGGCAAAGCAAGGTAATTAGAGCAAGAATCCAAAAGGGAAGAAAGCAATAATAGCCTTTACATTTGTTCTTTTTAAAAACAATCTTTTTTTTTCTCTTTTAAGTGCTACAGGGTGGATTGTTCTGGGTAATTTGGCAGTCTTTGCTTATGATCAGAGGTTCAGCAACACATTAAACAGGCATTTCAAGCAGAGCAGTACAATTTCTAGCCTCAAAATGCCCACCTTTCTGCTCCTACTGGGAGCATTCAATCGCCACAGAGCGTGTGAACCTGGCTGGGATGTGTGGGGAGTCATCTAAACAGAATTGGGGAATTGCATTATTTCCTTCTTCAGATTCAGACACAGGCTGTTTTCACCAGGCAATGCAAAATAACTCTTCAAGGGAGACCCACAATGTTGTAAACTATTGCCATTCCCAAAACCAAAGAACGGTGCTGCTCATGTACACTAAAAAAGCATTTCAGGCAGGAAGAAGAACGACCCTGGACATAGCAATGCTGTTAGAATTACCCCATGGGGACTGCCACTCCTCTGCCATCTCACCAGAGCAGGCTTGCGGCCCTGTGTTTTAGCGCAATCCCTTCCCCCCCATGAGTTCTGACTGAAAGACAGAAACAGCTCACTGACATGTTTGACCCTTGTAGGGTGCCTCTATTCCAAGCCCAGGTCAAGATTAGGATTCCTTTCATCGAGAGATCCTTCATCCCTACAGAGACAGCTTTCTCAAGCTTGTCCACAAGTAGAGTGACATCCCACGTCTGAATGTGCCTATTGGGTCAGGTCATTTTCGGCTGTGTATTACAGCATCCATCTTGGCTGGTTTAGGTAGGAAAGGGGAAATTTATGTGAGGATATCAGACAGAGAAGAGCAAAGAAACGATCTTAAGGGGAAACTCACCTTGTTCAATACTCAACCCCACGATGCCACTGCCCACGGCCCACTCCCAACCAGACTCATACATGGCTCTGTCTGATTGGTGGAAACTGTCATATGCCTGTATCTAGCTACAAGGGCAGCTGGGAAATGTAGTTATCAAGATTCCTCTCTGGGAACATGGGACTAAAATCATAGGATCTTCTTAAAAAAAGAGAGAGGGTGTTAGAAAGTTGCCATCAGTCCCAAATGATAGATGTTCCCTCCCCTTTTTACTCCAAGAAAAATTTCCTCTTTGATTTCTGCTCATTCCTACTCTAGAGAACATTTGGCACCAGCCTGGGACCCTGGAAAGCTTAGAAGCTTGGTGGCGTTTCTCTGTAGCACACAGGCCAGGTGTGCATGCACAGCGAGGAGAGAAGACTGCTTTTAAGAGGAGATAATATTTTTAAATCCTTGTGGCAAAGCAAGGTAATTAGAGCAAGAATCCAAAAGGGAAGAAAGCAATAATAGCCTTCATTTGTTCTTTTTAAAAACAATCTTTTTTTTTTTTCTCTTTTAAGTGCTACAGGGTGGATTGTTCTGGGTAATTTGGCAGTCTTTGCTTATGATCAGAGGTTCAGCAACACATTAAACAGGCATTTCAAGCAGAGCAGTACAATTTCTAGCCTCAAAATGCCCACCTTTCTGCTCCTACTGGGAGCATTCAATCGCCACAGAGCGTGTGAACCTGGCTGGGATGTGTGGGGAGTCATCTAAACAGAATTGGGGAATTGCATTATTTCCTTCTTCAGATTCAGACACAGGCTGTTTTCACCAGGCAATGCAAAATAACTCTTCAAGGGAGACCCACAATGTTGTAAACTATTGCCATTCCCAAAACCAAAGAACGGTGCTGCTCATGTACACTAAAAGAGGCTCCTGGGGCCCGCAGGTTGCGTGGTAGTTAAGGGTGCTGGACTCCCACTTGGCTGACTGTGGTTCGAGTCCCAGACCTGGTGGTTTTGCTTTCTCTCCCTGTGTGTCCCTCTCTGGTCAAATTAAAATAATTAAATAAAATAATTCTTTATAGATCTAAAAAATAAGCTCCTTCCTTCACCTGTCACAGCTTTGTGTCTTCCAATTAGTCACCTCAAAATGTTACTCAGATGAAACAAAGCATCTTGAGGGCCATCGGGTGGCATGATGGTTAAGCTGCTGGACTCCCACATGGCTGACCAAGGTTCAAGTCTTGGACCCAGTGGCTTTCTCACTCTTCCTCTCTCTCTGTCTCTCTCTGGCCAAATTGAGAATCATAGTAAGCAAATGACGTTCAATACATAATTATTTTTTTAAAAAGCATCTCTCCACGACCCCCCTTTCCTTCCATTCTACTTTGTCCACATATGTTATATAACTATGGCCTGGTGGTAAGAGGTATTAGATTGTTGGGACCAGCAGGTGGTGTGGTTAAGGCGCTGAACACTTCCATATGGCCAACCATGGTTCAAGTCCCAGACCTGGTAGCTTGCTTTCTCACTTTCCCTCTCTCTCTCTGTGTCTCTCTCTAGTCAAAATAAAGTAAATGAATAAATGAGAAAAAATAGAGGTGTTGGACTGTTACCATGCCTGGGCTGAGAGGGCTTCCTGAGCCTCCTGATAATCTAAGGAGCTCTCCTAGTCCAAAGGAAACTCTAAGAGCCCCCAGGAAGAGAATGAAAGCATTTTTAGTCTGTCTACTCTCTGACACTATAATTATACCCTACCCTTTCCAAAAGTATCACCTGGGTTCTCTACTTCATCTTGGATGGAGGAAGGTGGGGCGGCTTCATTCCATTTATTTCAGCGATGCAGATTTATCATCAGAGACAAGGGTCTCTGTCTTTCCACTCCTCAAACAGCATTTCATACTTGTCCTGGAGATGTCTTCTCTCCTGGTCAAAAGATGGTTGTTGGAGTTCCAGTGTCACATGCCGACATGAAACCATTCAGAGGAAGAAGAGGGACCCCTTGGAAGTCGTCCCCCAGTGGCAGCCAGGTTACATGTTCACCCTACATTCGGCACTAATGAAGGGCACAGACAATGGGACTGACCTCACCCAATTAGGGTTCACCAGTGGATTGAGTCGGAGAAGAAACAGGAATGAAACAAAATCAAGACCCTCCCAGTAAGGAAAGAACGAGGCATAATTTGGCATGCACACCCAACAGCATCTGCTACAGGTGTGCATTGTGACACGCTTCTTTTCCTGTGACCTCACACAACCTTGGTTCTATCAGTACACAATTAACACTTCCATATGGCCAACCATGGTTCAAGTCCCAGACCTGGTAGCTTGCTTTCTCACTTTCCCTCTCTCTCTCTGTGTCTCTCTCTAGTCAAAATAAAGTAAATGAATAAATGAGAAAAAATAGAGGTGTTGGACTGTTACCATGCCTGGGCTGAGAGGGCTTCCTGAGCCTCCTGATAATCTAAGGAGCTCTCCTAGTCCAAAGGAAACTCTAAGAGCCCCCAGGAAGAGAATGAAAGCATTTTTAGTCTGTCTACTCTCTGACACTATAATTATACCCTACCCTTTCCAAAAGTATCACCTGGGTTCTCTACTTCATCTTGGATGGAGGAAGGTGGGGCGGCTTCATTCCATTTATTTCAGCGATGCAGATTTATCATCAGAGACAAGGGTCTCTGTCTTTCCACTCCTCAAACAGCATTTCATACTTGTCCTGGAGATGTCTTCTCTCCTGGTCAAAAGATGGTTGTTGGAGTTCCAGTGTCACATGCCGACATGAAACCATTCAGAGGAAGAAGAGGGACCCCTTGGAAGTCGTCCCCCAGTGGCAGCCAGGTTACATGTTCACCCTACATTCGGCACTAATGAAGGGCACAGACAATGGGACTGACCTCACCCAATTAGGGTTCACCAGTGGATTGAGTCGGAGAAGAAACAGGAATGAAACAAAATCAAGACCCTCCCAGTAAGGAAAGAACGAGGCATAATTTGGCATGCACACCCAACAGCATCTGCTACAGGTGTGCATTGTGACACGCTTCTTTTCCTGTGACCTCACACAACCTTGGTTCTATCAGTACACAATTTCAAAATTAATCACTGCTATTAAGTGGAAATCTTCTCAGTTTTATTCCATCCGCTGATGCTCAGGGTTTTTTGGATCGCTTCAAGACCACAAGTCTTTAAGAACAAGAAATAATCTACATCGCAGGCTCAAAGTACTAACGATGTGATTAAGTCGCCAGGCTGTGCCTCTCCTTGGCGTTTCTCTCTTCCTTTACTCCATTTTTCCCTTGCCAGGCAAATGGCATTACTGTAACAGCATAATTGCTGCTCTGACTCCACCGCTGAAATAAACAGAAATGAGAAGGAAAGAGAGAGCTTCAAACTGAGTTGCCCTCTGCCCGGCAGTTTCCTAAGATGTTCAGCTAGACTTCTGAAATGGACAGGCTGAGGTTGAACATGCATTAAAGACAAAACAAACAAACAAAAGACAACAGCAACAAAACAGCCCAACCCAGGCTGTAGAGCGGGACCTGGGATAGACAGAGAAGAGAAAAGAAAATAAAAGGAGAGACGACTTAACTCCATCGTCAGGAACTGGCAGCCTGCTTGTGGACGTGCTGTTCATTTGGGCAAGTCTTAAAAATTAGAATTAGCCACAGACTTTTAAAACTCAAGGGATTTTTGGAGTTAGCAGGTGGCATGGTAGTTAAGGTGCTAGATTCCCATATGGCCGACCGTGGTTCAAGTGTCAGACCCGGTGGCTTAAAATTAATGCCAGCCATGTTTGTGTGCGTGTCCAAAATCCCAGGAGGAGAATGGAGGAAAAGGGATTATGCATGGCCATCCCCCCAGGAGATGATTTCTCACTTTCCCTCTCATTGTTTGGCAAATACACATGCCGTATGGCAAAAAACTAAAATAAAAAAAAAAAGGATTTTATATAAAACTCCAGGTTGCAAAATTAGAAGGTCTGCTACTGAGCCTGCTTCCCCAGAAGGCGACCAGTGGACGAGACCCACTTTCTCAAAGTCCCCACCACACCCTAGCGCTCTACTGCATGCTTTGTTTCCATTGTCTGCCTGCCTGTTCTAGACATTTGAATGTACGATTTCATTTGATGACAGGGGCCAGGGGATTGTCCTGTAGTTTGTTCAACAATATTGTTTAAATTTCTGCTCATGCATGTGACTCTCCTGCTGTGTGTGCATTGTTTCAGATGGGGGTTGCCCACGTATTAAAAGATTCACTCCTCTGGCTAATTTGGAAGATTTGCTCCTTGCCAGGCTGGTTCCTGGAATAAGGAAGGAAGCTTGTCAGAAAGAAGCCTGTTGCAAGGCTACAATGCAACCCACTCTGAGACACTACTAGTGGGCAGTTCTCGGTGGGCAAACAGCCTGCACAGCACCGAGCAGAGGGTTTGAGAGGAGACCGTCTGTTTCCAGAGACTCATTTGCTGAGAGCACTCACTGTATCTTGAGACAAACTAAAACAATCTTCACTGAGACTAGATTCCCATATGGCCGACCGTGGTTCAAGTGTCAGACCCGGTGGCTTAAAATTAATGCCAGCCATGTTTGTGTGCGTGTCCAAAATCCCAGGAGGAGAATGGAGGAAAAGGGATTATGCATGGCCATCCCCCCAGGAGATGATTTCTCACTTTCCCTCTCATTGTTTGGCAAATACACATGCCGTATGGCAAAAAACTAAAATAAAAAAAAAAAGGATTTTATATAAAACTCCAGGTTGCAAAATTAGAAGGTCTGCTACTGAGCCTGCTTCCCCAGAAGGCGACCAGTGGACGAGACCCACTTTCTCAAAGTCCCCACCACACCCTAGCGCTCTACTGCATGCTTTGTTTCCATTGTCTGCCTGCCTGTTCTAGACATTTGAATGTACGATTTCATTTGATGACAGGGGCCAGGGGATTGTCCTGTAGTTTGTTCAACAATATTGTTTAAATTTCTGCTCATGCATGTGACTCTCCTGCTGTGTGTGCATTGTTTCAGATGGGGGTTGCCCACGTATTAAAAGATTCACTCCTCTGGCTAATTTGGAAGATTTGCTCCTTGCCAGGCTGGTTCCTGGAATAAGGAAGGAAGCTTGTCAGAAAGAAGCCTGTTGCAAGGCTACAATGCAACCCACTCTGAGACACTACTAGTGGGCAGTTCTCGGTGGGCAAACAGCCTGCACAGCACCGAGCAGAGGGTTTGAGAGGAGACCGTCTGTTTCCAGAGACTCATTTGCTGAGAGCACTCACTGTATCTTGAGACAAACTAAAACAATCTTCACTGAGAATCTTACTGCATGTCTGGGGTCTGTGTGTCTGGACCCCAGATGGTCCCTCTCTGCTCAGGTTCACCCAGTTTTGTGGTGCTAACATGTTTGCGATGTTGTCTTATGACATGGTTATTGTAAAATAGATGATTATTATTTAGAGATTTTTGACTTCAAATACAATTTTTCACTGGTCCCTATAATGAGATCAAGAGGGAGATTGAACTTGCATGAAGACTTCAAGAAATTCCATGTGATTTTGTAGGTGACATGTTTTTTTTAAAGTCATGTGAAATAATGAAGTCAATAAGTGGCATGGTGGTTGAGGCGCTGGACTCTCACATGGCTGCCCTTGGTTTGAGTCCCAGACCTGGTGGCCTGCTTTCTCATTTTCCCTTTCTTCCTATCTCTCTCTGTCTCTCTGGTGAGTGCATGTGCCCTATAGCAAATAAAATCATCATCATAATCATTTTTTTTAAAAGTCACATGAAGTAAGAACCTCGTTTTAAAGAAAAAAAATTTTTTTTCCCATGAGGAAAAGAGACAGAGACAGCATCCTACAGGGTCTAGGCACAAAATTCACCCCCAGCCTCGGGCAGCCCAGATCATGGGTATGTGCACACCGGTGCACTCAGGGAGGTCTCCAGATGTGAAAGGAACCTTCCCATGGGAGCTAGTCACCCAGCACATCGAGTTTTACCACTATGCTACCACACAGCTCCTTAAGATTTTGTTTTGCGATTTTTGCTCCAGGGCAGGTGCACTCACCAGAGAGACACAAAGGGAGAAATCACCTCCCATGCGGTATGGCCACATGGTACTCCTTTCTTCTCCATTCTCCTCTTGGGATTTTGGGCACTGAGTACACCACCTGCAGTGTTTTCCAAGCTGCTGGGTCAGAATTTGAACTGCAGAGTTAGCCACGTGGGATCCAGCCCCTTAACCTCCAAACCACCTGCCCGCCTCTAAAGATTTTTTTAAAAATTCATTTTCTTTCTTTCTTTTATGAGAGAAAGGGGAGAGGGGAAGAGATACCCTCAATAGGGTCCCACCATGCTGCCATCCTCCCCCAAGCCTTGCAGCTGCCCAGAATGACAGCCCCATGGGCAATACGCAAGGACATGCCTGGTGTGGTTAGGTTCCAGAGTCCTGAACTACAGTATCCTGCAGTGTCACCCTACTGCCCGCACCACCATGGCTGGGCCTCAGTGTCAAGTGTCAGAGACACCAGTAAATGCCTGTGTTCAGTATTGGCCCTGGCGGGACAGCACCTGGGGCCTCCTTCTCTCCTGACTTCTCTACGGTCGATGACTGGGTCCTGGGCCTCGGGTGTGACTGGTCCCCCTTCTCCAGGCCATGTGGGAAGACTTTCTTCATTTTGGATTGACCAAAAGACATGGGATTAACTGAACAATTTGTCCCTCTCTTCAGAAGACATCCATTTGCACAAGATTCAACATTTCCCTAAAAAATGTGACTTCATTTACTCTCGTGGTAGACTCCTATTTGGTCAAATTTCTGTAGCACACTTGATTTGGAAGGAATGCTTTCAATTCCCTTTTACTGCATATATCAAAACAATTTCCTGTCGACTACTATGCTTCCTTTTACACATCTATCAGAACAATTTCCTGTTAACTAATATGAGATGTTTGGACTTGGGGTTTTAGTATGTTTTAGAGCAAATATCTAGGCACAGATTCTTCAGCTGAATACATCTGAGCTACACATTGCTCAAGTGATCCCAGATGCAGTTCCAACCAGCTGCTCCCTAAACAAGAAGCCATGTACTCCTTCTAACGGAAAGGACATTCGCTACAGGCATGTCGGCATGTCAGGTGACAGTCGGATTGCAATGGTGGCCCTGAGGATTGTCAGGGAAACT